TCAGTTTTTGTTTGATGCAAGTATGAGCGTACCGTATCTACCCTTTTTGTTTTAATCTAAGTTGTGAACGTGATTATATATATTTTTAATAATGTGTGCTAGGAGGGTAAGTCCTTTAATCTCCATCCAGTTATTGCAGACCTACCCGCTCCTGGGCCATAAATACAGTTCCCCTCCAGTACTCGCCTCATCGTTAGTGTTTGAACTATCATCGCACGGTTAACATAACATTCGTCTTCAAACTCCAAAATGGATAAAAATACAATCCTTGGTGAGCTGTACATGCTGTGCACATCGTGTTAGTGTTGTGCAGAAGACAAAACTGTATTAAGAGTGGCCACTCTTATTAAGAAAGTGCTGGAATAATCTGAGGTACTTGTGGCGGCGACATCTTTATGCCCCATAGATATACAACGGATGGAGGAAATCATTACTCACCATCCTCAAGAGATGGCGTTACCTGCACTGCGATCAATATTAGTATGGAAGCCTACATCGCGCAATTGAAATCCGGAGGCTAACTCTTCGATGCCCGACCAACATCAGTCGGACCGCGGCCCCCTAGCTAACATCACCCAGCTCGGAGGAAGATCTTCCCCTTTGGCCTTCATACACTATCAGTGTACGACGTGCAGGTAACGCCATCTCTTGAGGATGGTGAGTAATGATTTCCTCCATCCGTTGTATATCTGTGGGGCATATAGATGTCGTTGCCACATACTTATTTCGCAGCTGAATATTGGTGAATTGGTGAGTCTTCCATTAATTTAGATATCCCTCTTCTCCCGTTCCCGTTCACTTCAAAAAACCACTGGATCCAGATTTCGGACGGGATTCGAACCCGCACCTTATCGCTATCCGGGCGGAGTAATACATTTCATCCATAGATAATATTGTAACTTTGTCTTTGTTACGTTACGCTTTAAATGATTTTGGTGCCAAAGGACATTAGAGAAAATTATTGAGAGTCACCTTCTGTCGCAAAAACTAAACTTGACAATTATAATCTTAAAAAATAAAATATAGCAGCTAGTACGTAGTAGCTACGTATTTGTTTGATATCCGAAGTACAAGCTGTTTATCACACGGACACACAGATAATGTTTGTTTGTTAGTTCAAAACATACGAAACAACTGTTTTGCTAAACAATTTTGATTCGTCACTAAGGTGCAAAGGACATTGTTCAGCGTCCATACATAGTTAGCCTAAGAACCAACAATCATGAAATATTATTTTCTAGGTTCAAAATCGTAAGTAAATGACTGTAAAAACAAAGATTATTGACGGACACTTCTGAGAACTTAAATTATTAGGAAAACTTAAAATTTTTTGAGGTTATGTTTAATACTCAATGAAACATAGGTCAACCTATGAATTTAGTATAAACTCAGTATGAAGTGAATTAATATTACAACTAATTCATTTTATTCGGTGCGATTTTAAAGAAGAACTATAAGGAAAAACTTGGTTAGGTAGGAATCATGAATAAAATAAAAACTGTAGTTTTGCTTCTTTTTTGTTGACTATTTTTCACATAGTTGTATCATATTTGAATATTGTATTTATTTGTATATCACATGTAGGTATATTGTGTAAATATGCAGCGTGAATGTGTATCGGGTGTTGTGTTCTTGAATAATTAAGCAGTATGATCCTCTCAAGATGTTGGGGCACAGGTTCTACTGCTTGCTACTGCTGTCTGGCCTGGGGTGGAGCTAATAAAACAAGCATGATCCTAGTCGAACGATCTCAGCGCGCTGTATTAAAAGTAATGTTTCACAAACCATTTAGGTATCCCACCGATGTTCTTTATAAAGAGTGCAGCTTGTTGAGGGTTCGTCAGATCTTTATTGTAAAATCGATACTTGCTATGCATGGGAAAGTGTCTGCATCACCAGAGTATAAAACTCTTTGCCTTAGACGCAACTTTCGGATTCCAATGCCTATCACACATACGTCATTCATCCAACGCCATTCCACATTTCTTCTTCCTTTCATTTACAATAAGATTTGTCGCTTCTTTGTTAATCTTCACCTTCAGTCTATAATTTGTGTCAAAAGGATGGTTTCCTCTTGGCTCATGGATCTGTCATATCAGGCCTGTAAGTTGACTACTTACTTAACTATGGCCGAGTTGAAAATTATCACAGGCACACACACACCCATGCGCGCATACACATACACTCACACACCCACACATCCACACTCGTACACACACATCCACACTCGCACACACACAGACTCACACTCACATATACACACATAAAGTAATTATAATTCGAGGATTTTTTATTAAATATATATGTAACTTGTAAAAATTTTCAGTTAAAATGTTTAAAGTTACTTTAATAATTTTTCTATTTTCATATTTTTTGTCTTAATGTTACTCAAACATTTAAGTATTACCGTAACTTCCTCACTCACAATGTTCACCTCCCGAGTTTTGTCAACTTAATGTAATGCGAACCATTCAGAAAAACTGAAATGTTAGGTTTTTGCGTTACGAGCTCAGCTCAGTGCAAAAACCACTGTTTAATTGTAAGCTAGGTTAAAATTTTGTATTGGTGAATAAATATATTTTGATTTGATTTGTTTTGAGGTTCACTAGCACTTGGTTATAGGGGCTCTTCTCTTTGATAACATCGATGGCATATTAGATAGCCAAAATAGTTAAATTTAAGGAAAAACAATCGCAAATAAACACACAACAGGTAATCCGAAACGAGAATGCACTTTCCTGTATAATAAACTACTCTTTGGAATGTACGAATGCCACAGATTACTACGAATGCAAACTGCATGCACCACAACAACAGAGTAACGAGTTTTATGCCGGCCCTTCACTTGACAACAGTTTGTCCTTGTCATGCTTAATAAGGAATGAAACAGACTGATGTCATGTTTTAAAATAGCAAATACGAATAGCCAAGTGAAGTACCGGCATTAGGAAGAAAGAGTGTTTTGTTTGCAGCGTTGCCATAGATTATACACATAAAATGGTATTTATTGTTTCAGATTATTTTTTAACTTTTTAATTTAGCATACTTAACTGAAAGTGTCCGTCACAATCTAAATACTGATAATTATCGCAAAAAATATACTAAGAATTTTCATAAATGCCAAATTGGTGTTGGTTCTTAGGCCAATTTTAACATTTTCCTTTACTAAACATGTAAGGTTAAAATACTATGTGCTTAACAACTTAATGGTAGATGATTATATTTTTATTGACATATTTAAGTGTTATTAATCGATGTACACCGGCTGCACGCACGAAAAAGACACACACACATACACATAACACACAATATTGCCAATTTATTTAAACTCATCACCGTTCTCAATACCGGACGTCAATCGTAATATTTAAAATGATCTTTCTATTCCACGCGGACCAGGCAGCAGATGGGACTCGAACCCACACCCTTCGCTATCCGGGCGAATACAGCATTAAACTTTTGAAAGAAGAAATAGCAATTATAGTTATAATTTTATTTTGAGCATCGCAATTACATGCTTAAAAAATATAAATTATAGCTATAATTGCTATTTCTTCTTTCAAATGTTTAATACTTGTAAAAGTATTCATTTGGCATTGTGGGTTATGTGCAATGCGAAGAGATGGCGCTGCCTTGCAGCTTAAGAATGGCTAGAGGAATTTCGAAGCAGGCGTCAGGGCATCGAAAGCATAATTGGTCAGTACATTCGCCCGGATAGCGAAGGGTGCGGGTTCGAGTCCAGTCTGCAGCCTGGTCCGAGTGGAATTTTTTCTAGTAATATTTTCTTTAGATTTAAACATCAAGCAGTTACATGCTTAAAAAATAAAGATTATGATCTTACTATGTTATATTAAGCTACTTATAAAAAGGATATATTTGAAACTAGCGGCCCGCCCTCGCTTCGCTTCAGTGTAGAGCTGAAGTGTAGACTACAGGTTTTATTCTCAGGTTTGTATTATACACAATGACATTCATCTATGATTCTTCTTATACCTGCATGTAAAGTCTCAGCCCGATCGGTTTAAAATTGACAAAGTTTCATACAAACTTTCATTCCCTATTTTATCCCCTTGGGGGTAGAATTGATCAAAATCCTTTTTGAGCGAATGCCTACGTCATAACATTTACTTGCATGCCAAATTTCAGCCCGATCCGTCCAGTGGTGTGGGCTGTGCGTTGATAGATCACTATGTCAGTCAGTCACCTTTGAGTTTTATATATAAAGATAAGTAGCTGGGGCCCATTCTATTTCACCACTTATTTGTTCTCATGAGCACTCAAAATCTGACACGCTCGGTTTCCATACAATTTTAAGTGCCTGCAGTGTCTATTTCAATCAGGTCTGCGTTCAAAACCTCCTTGCGTGATAGAGAGCTGACTCCCACTTAAGCCACGTATTTTACCAGAGTGACACAGGGTAAGAGAAGCTTAAAATGGTCGCGGAAGTTAAGCAATTTTCGCGATGGTTGGTCATTGGATGGGTGAATATCTTATATTATCTCGTGCTCCTCCATGCTTCCTGAAGGTACGTTAAGCCGTTGGTCCCGGCTGCGTCTGCAGTCATTAGCACACACTAATCCAGAATGGAGCCGCGTGGTGGCTCACGGCCCAATGTCCCTGTTCCATCCATCGGCAAGGCATGTGCCCCAGCAGTGGAAACATTAATAGGCTCATGATGACAAGGAGTTAAAGTTCATACTGTTTCTCGGGTTTCTTGATGGCGGAATAAAATTGGCTAAACACCAGGGTTTAGTGTTTCTGGACCTGACACTCAACTCCATACACTACTATCAGTACTTCAACAGAAATACCTGTTATGCTATCTTACACAATTATCAAGCACCCTTTTCGTAGACCCAGTCACATGTATTACAAGCTTGTAATCTTATGCATATGGCGTCACATCTTCCTACTCATCCAAAAACCCGACTAAATTAATCAATAAGTCTACGCATTTTTAAATATTCATTAATGTGCAAAGTATAAAAGCACTGTCTCCAATGTCTGTCGCATTCGAAATCCATCAGCCGCAAGAGCTGGTGTCCTTGGAAGCGCGAAGTCTCACAAAGAATAATCATATTAACATGAGGGCGTCAGTGGTCTTTATTTTGGTCATCACAAGCTTGTTGAGTGCGACGTCAGGGAAGGCGCCGGCGCAATTCTTCTGCGGGCGAAGACTCGCAGACACGCTGGCTCTGTTCTGCCCGTCCGCTGAGCTGGTGAAGAGATCAGGGTACCACGAGAGGCAGCACTACCCCGGCAACGAGGTGCTGGGTGCGGGCGACGAGGGCTGGGACCGCGAGCTGGGTCTGGGCGGCGCCGGGTCGGAGGGCTGGCTGTGGCGCGGTGCGTTGAGCGGCGCCCGCGGGAAGAGAGGCGTCATCTCCGAGTGCTGCGACCAGCCTTGCACCATCGACGAGCTGCTCACCTACTGCTGAAACGATCACAGCGAACCTATTTATAGCACAAACCTTTATCGAAGCGGCTATTTACACCATACTTCATGTTCGCATAACCAACATGTTTAATCTTAAGTGTCATAAAGGGGAAAGAGAACTTTTCCTTAAAATCCTACCTTAGTGTTAGGTGTTATGATAATATAAAGTTTCATTGGCTTCATTACACACTTAACTGCTTTTTCAATAGGTTATAACTTGACAAGTTTTTTTTTTAATTTTGCACCATTGTTTCTTCTTCTTTGTCGCTATCTTCATTGCTGAAGGTCATGTCTAGCTAATAATGTTGACCACCCGATGCACTATGCTTCTCCACGTATTCCTATCCTCTGCAGTCTTTATAGCCTTGGTTATTGATGGGCCAGTGAGCGACTTTGCTAGGTCTAACCAGCAGGTAGGTGAGCGACCGCGTGATCTTCCGTCGATCCAGCCTACCACCATCAGCTCCTCTAGGCTGTCAGGGTTTCCGCGAGCGATGTGTCCAAAATATTTGAGTTCACGCTGATAACAGATATTGGACAACCTTGTGATGATACAGAGTTCCTCAAATATGGACACGTTGGTCCGGCGTGCTGTGCATGGGAATCTTAACATCCGCCTCCAAAACCACAACTCTAAAGCCTCGATCCTTGCCCTATCTGTCTTATCGTCCGGGATTCAGAGCCATTAAACAAATTCGAGTAGACCAACGTGCGCACCAGCCTCACTTTGGTTTTGCGGGATGTGTTGCGGTCTTTCCATATCATAGGCATATGAGGCGGGTCGTTACGTTCCCTAAAATATGGTTGAGCGAAGCGATGGCTAGTTCATGCGCCATGCTCGTGAACGGGTGCTGCCAGCGGAGATGAGTCTGCCCTAACTACTTTGATATTTAAGATGTAAATGTTTAATTACACCTTTTATAAATAACTCTGTTTGTATTTATACTGTGTGACACAGCAATCAAAATGCAGATGAACAATTAATGTATAATTTCACATTATGTAATGAAAGATGACTTCATGAATCATCTCTGAAGTAATTTTTCAACTTGACAACTCTGTAAATGATAAAACAGGGAGAGAGAAAAATAGCCCTTGCTGAGTTTCTTGCCGGTTCTTCTCGGTACAAGGTCTACCGCCGTAGATTTACGAACGGATGGCGTAGCTTCTAAACATTCATATGTGCTTGTAACAACCTAAACTGAATAAATGATTTTGATTATGATTATGATTATAGTGAGTTTAGTCATCGCTGCTTTGGACATTTGGATTCTTCTTGATATCTCTACCTAGCTGCCACCCACATTACTGAGAAGAGAGCCAAGGTATACAAAATGGTCGACACGATTGTTTAAATTAATGTTATTATAATAAGTGTATTTTTAATTTATTGTTTCTTTAATACTACAGCCGTTTAAAAATACTTTAATAGGCTAAAAAATGAGCGTTTTATAACTTGATTAAAATTTAAACGGTGACGATTGTTTTAATTTTGAATAAAATTACTCTTATCCAAATATTGATTGATTTTCATTATCAACATTTATTATGATCCTGTATTAATATCGATTATAATATAAGAAGAAAATACATCCAAAGGACTACATCGAAACCGTGATCAAAACAGCTTCACGCAAACTCGGAGTCCTGAACGAGGTGCGGCGTTTTTTCACGCCCGTACAACTGTGCTTGTTGTACAAAACGCAAATGCGGTCCTGCGTGGAATATTGCTCGCACCTCTGGGATGGCTCCGCCAAGTACTTGCTCGATGCTTTGGATAGGTTACAGCGGCGCGCGATCCGCATCATAGGCGATGAGGAGGTGACTAAACACCTCGAGCCTCTTCAATTACGCCGTGACGTGGCGTCACTAAGCGCGTTCTATCGTATGTACCACGGCGAGTGTTCTGAGGAATTATTCTCTCTTATCCCACCTTCCCCTTTTCTTCAGAGGACCACGCGCGCTGGCCTACGTTGTCACCGTTTTGTACGTCATAAATTATGTACGATCTAACGAATTGATTCTTGACCCATTTTCCCGATAATTCGCTTAAAAATGACAAAACAGTCAAGTTTTCGTTTGTAGAGAATGCGTAATTGCGCTTAGGACCTTCCAATAACAAGGAAACTGTTATTATGGATCAACGATCTCTAAAATTTTACCTTTATTTAAAATCCAATAGACCTTAATATAGATAAAAGAGGAGCTCAATGGCGCAAGTGGTTAATGCGTTCGGATGCGATCGTTAAAGTTAAGCAACTTTCGCAGTGGTCGGTCAATGGATGGGTGACGAACGACCAGTCGACTGCGTAGATATGTCTTGGCAAGATTGGTTAGCGGCCGTGTAAATGACGTTTGTCTGTGTGCGTGCGTCGATTCGGGTTTTGTATGTATTGCGGTTATGGTGCCTCGAATGACATGCTCGTATACACAACACTTATAACTTCAGTATGTTTAAACTAATTTGGATGAATTATGTAGTATACTAATCTTTTATTGAATTGAAGTTTTTTTATATTATAGGGGGCGTGAGAGCTGATGGTAAGAGATCACCGTCGTCCATAGACATCTGCGACATCTAATGTATAATAAATGCGATACCGGCCTTTAAGGAAGGAGTACTCTGTCTTTTTTTAAGGTTTCGGGTCTTATTGGTAAGGGAACATTGCTGGTGACAATGTATTCCACAGATTTGTCGTAAAATTTCGACAAAATCGTAAGGTTGTAGATAGGCACGCATCAAGATAATGGGGATGAAATTTCTTTCGAGATATATGAGAAATATAATTAAGAAAGTCCATATGTAAGATTCTTCAACAAAAGTAGGTCGAAATGGGTATAGCACAAATCACCCAAGCGAAACAAATCTTTGAAGCGAAAGTTTATTGTACTTTCCTCCATTCTCGCTAAGATGTTGTATAGTTTCGCATCGAACTATGTATAAATAGTTTGGAACGTATATTTGTTGAGGTACGTTAGGTCTAACCTGATTTTATTTAAGTTCCCAATTATAAAATGAAACGGCGAAGTGCGAACCCGACTCGCTTACGAATGGTGTCGTACCATTGCAAATAACTATATCAGATGAGTAGTTTAAGATTTTCAGAGCAAAATTACGTAGATAGAACAGTCCACTATTAACTGACACTGTCCTACTCACTTCATCATTATCATCATTATCAGCCTATTAATGTCCCCACTGCTGGGGCACAGGCCTTGCCTATGGATGGAATAGGGAGATTGGGCCATGACCCACCACGCGGGCCCAGTGCGGATTGGTGGGTGCTAACGACTGCAGATGCAACCGGGACCAACGGCTTAACGTGCCTTCCGAAGCACGGAGGAGCTCGAGATAGTAACTTTTTGGTCACCCATCCAATGACCGACCACTGGGAAAGTTGCTTAACTTCAACGATCGCAGCCGAACGAGCTAACCAGTTGCGCCAATGTCCTACTCACTTAATAGGTGCGTAATTAGAGAGTCCCAGTTTATATTGGACGTGAAAGGAACCAAAACCAGGCAAACGATAATCTTCTTATAGGTTTTCCTTTTGCCGGCTTCCTGTGGCGTAATTTTTACACTAAATGTCGCCGCACACGGGCCACACGCCTCAGTCACAAACGCCGCAACGAGAAGCTAGAAGCGGCTACTAAAGTGGCTGAAGCGCGCGATAGCGGCCGACTAAGGTAAGGGAGAGAGGGGTGGAGAATCGAGCGAGTGACGTGTGGCGGCGTTTTGTATCGGGGCATTAAGTGGCCGGTGCGGGCCACAAGAAGCGAGCAACGACGATTTGTAGCGTGTGGCGGCCACCGGCGTACCGTGTGTGGCGAGTCCATATAAAATGTATGAAAACTATAAGAAATATGCCGGTGGCGGCGTTTTGTCGTTGTGGTCGGTGGCTCGTGTGCGGCGACACTAAATCATTTGGATTTATACTAATAATTAATTCCAAAGTTTTTAAATGACAATAATTTCTGTTACATTAACGATTTTAATTAAAAGTGACTGCGAAATTCAAAGTAGGTTCCAATTTTATCTATAACTAGCGGCCCGCCCTCGCTTCGCTTCGGTGTAGAGCTGAAGCGTAGACTACAGTTTTTGTTCTCAGGCTTGCATTATACACAATGACATTCATCTATGATTATTCTTATACCTTCATGCAAAGTCTCAGCCCGTTCGGTTTTAAAATTGACAAGGTTTCATACAAACTTTCATTCCCTATTTTATCCCCTTGGGGGTAGAATTGATCAAAATCCTTTCTTAGCGGATGCCTACGTCATAACATCTACCTGCATGCCAAATTTCAGCCCGATCCGTCCAGTGGTTTGGGCTGGGCGTTGATAGATTACTACGTCAGTCAGTCACCTTTGAGTTTTATATATATAGATTATAAAAAAACTGAAGATGGTATATTTATCTTTTCCAAACTTCTATTGACATTACGTCGCTCAATTGTTTTGCCTTCCCAGAATCTCTCCACTAACATTTGAAATTTATGGTATGATATTAAAGTTCAAATTGACTTTTAAGTATTATTACGAATCGTTTGTATGGGAGTAAAGAAAAGTTTTGTTTTTTGACATTTTCAGGCATTTTTTAAAAAATTTCTCTTCGTAAGAACCATCCTCGTACTTCAAGGAATATTCTAAAAAAAAATCAGCCAAATCGGTCAAGCCGTTTTCATGTTATGTCGTGACAACGGAAAACGGGTTTCATTTTTATATATATAGATTATAGTCTATTGCATTGAAAATAAAGGTAAAATATCAAAGATCGTTCATCTATACTTATAATAAATCTGTAGAGAGGTCAATTCTGTACATGAAATATATTTTCAAAATAACTATCAGGGGGTGATTAGTGATCGATACTGATGCCAAAAATGCAATCAGTAAAAATTTTGTCTGTCTGTCTGTCTGTGTGTATGTTCCTTATAGAAACAAAAACTACTCGACGGATTTTAACGAAACTTGGTACAATTATTCTTCATACTCCTGGGCAGGTTATAGTATACTTTTCATCACGCTACAATCAATATGAGCAGAGTAGTGAAGGGAAATGTTGGGAAAACGGGAGAAGTTACTCCATTTTTTCAGCTTCCGTCGCGTGTGCAGCCTTAATGGTTAAAGTTACATATAAAAGTGTCTACAAAATATCCTGCAACAGCATATGTCTATCTTTTATGGTTGACTCACAATAACACGTGTAACTCCTGATAGCTTAGCAGTTCGGAGCATTCCGATTATATAACGTAAATATGAGAATTTTAGTTTGATTATAAATACAGGTAATAAAAATGACCGTTTTTATCTATATATATGTATATAAAAGTCAAAGGGGACTGACTGACATAGTGATCTATCAACGTACAGCCCAAACCACTGGACGGCTCGGACTGACATTTGGCATGCAGGTAGATATTATGACGTAGGCATCCGCTAAGAAAGGATTTTGATCAATTCTACCTCCAAGGGGATAAAATAGGGAATGAAAGTTTGTGTGAAACTTTGTCAATTTTAAACCAATCGGGCTGAGACTTTGCATGCAGGTATAAGAAGAATCATAGATGAATGTCATTGTGTTTAATACAAGCCTGAGAAAAAAAACTATAGTGTACACTTCAGCTCTACAGCGAAGCGAAGCGAGGGCGGGCCGCTAGTCCATAATAAAATTTTCCTTGTTATTAGAAGGTATCCTAAGTTCAATTACGCATTCTCTACGAAGGAAAACTCGATAATTCGCTTAAAAATGACAATACAGTCATGTATTGGCAAGTGGGTCAGGAATCAATTCGTTAGATCGTACATAATTTATGAGGTTGAACATTTTTGCGTTCCATGCAACCTCATCGATCGTTACCAAGCCCTAGAACAGAGTAGGCGAACCTTTATGAATCAACGTGCCATTTTTTCTAAAAAATCTTTAATTGGGTCATTGGCATGCCATCAAATAATTTTGACCATATGATTATTTAGAAGATAATAATATAAATACTATCAGAAATCTTTATGAAATATAGTAAACCAAAGAGACACATTCTGGAATGTTTTTATTACACGCATAAATTAGATTACTGTAAAATTAGTGTGACTTCTGTTGCTGCAGGTTTGATAACAAATAATTTATGTTAGGGTTGTAAGATGCTACTTTTAGCAAAATGCATGCTGAACTGGATTCATCTGTCAAACGGTTTCTAAACGAGTTTTTAATGTTATTCATCTCTGAAAACAATGACTCGCAGGCATAGGTAGATGAAAACATTGTTAAAATAGCATGTGCTTACTTCTTCAAACAGTTACTTCGTAGCGTAGGATCACTCGCGTTCGATCGTCATAAAATACCTACTTAAATCATTTTTTACACATGTTTTATGATTGGCGACGTGCCCAAAATATTGTGTCGCGTGCCATCAGTGGCACGCGTGCCATCAGTGGCACGCGTGCCATTGGTTCGCCTACCCTGCCCTAGAATGTGCTCAATAAAAACACAACACCATCAAAAGGTAATGCTATTTCCCATTCCCTGTGGTCCTCTATATGATGGAAGTTATTTCCTCAGACGTGGGCTCCGATTCGGGCGAAAAAGTCGCTGTGCCGCACTGTTTATTCATTAAATAATAATTATTAATTAATAAAGAATGTTATTCTTTCACTTAAATTAACATCGACATAATCAAGTCACATGCATGTTTTAACATTTTTTTTTGCTAAAGATAGGTAACATCATATATTCGGTGATTAACTACTCATTAACTCGGTTAAAGAATCATATTTGCTTCTTATATTATAATCGATATTGATATAGGATCATAATAAATGTTGATAATGAAAATCAATCAAAATTTGGGTAAGATTAATTTTATTGAAAAATAAAACAATCGTCACCGTAAATATTTGAACAAATTATGAAGCGCTTATTTTTATAACCTATTAAAGTGTTTTTAAACGGGTGTAGTACACAGATATTTAAGAAAAAAATAAAATAAAAATACACTCATTTTAATAAGATTAATTTAAACAATCGTGTTGACCATTTTGTATACTTTGAATCTCTTCTCAGTAATGTGGGTGGCAGCTAGGGAGAGATATCAAGAAGAATCCAAATGTCCAAAGCAGCAATGACTAAACTCACTATGATATGGAAAGACCGCAACACATCCCGCAAAACCAAAGTGAGGCTGGTGCGCACGTTGGTCTTGTTTTATGGCTCTGAATCCCGAACGATAAGACAGAAAGGGCAAGGATCGAGGCTTTAGAGTTGTGGTTTTGGAGGCGGATGTTAAGATTCCCATGCACAGCACGCCGGACCAACGTGTCCATATTTGAGGAACTCTGTATCATCACAAGGTTGTCCGCTATCTGTTACCAGCGTATACTCAAATAAAATATACTCAAATCGAAACCCTGACAGCCTAGAGAAGCTGATGGTAGTAGGCTGGATCGACGGGAGATCACGCGGTCGCTCACCTACCCGCTGGTCAGACCTAGTAAAGTCGCTCACTGGCCCATCAATAACCGAGGCTTTAAAGACTGCCGAAGAATACGTGGGGAGAAGCATAGTGCATCGGGTAGTCAACATTATAAGCTATACACGACCTTCAGTAATGAAGACAGCAACAAATAAGAAGAAACAATCGTGATAAATAAAAAAAAAACTTTTCTAGTTATAACCTATTGAAAAAGCAATTAAGTGCGTGATGAAGCCAATTAAACTCTACATTATCATTACACCTAACACTAACGTAAGATTTTAATATAAAGTTCTCTTTCCCCTTTATGATACTTTAGATTACACATGTTGGTTATGCGAACATGAAGTATGGTGTAAATAGTCACTTCGATAAAGGTTTGTGCTATGAATAGGTTCGCTGCGATCGTTTCAGCAGTAGGTGAGCAGCTCGTCGATGGTGCAAGGCTGGTCGCAGCACTCGGAGATGACTCCTCTCTTCCCGCGGGCGCCGCTCAACGCACCGCGCCACAGCCAGCCCTCCGACCCAGCGCCACCCAGACCCAGCTCGCGGTCCCAGCCCTCGTCTCCCGCACCCAGCACCTCGTTGCCGGGGTAGTGCCACCTCCCGTGGTGCCCTGATCTCTTCACCAGCTCAGCGGACGGGCAGAACAAAGCCAGCGTGTCTGCGAGTCTTCTCCCGCAGAAGAATTGCGCGGGCGCCTTCCCTGACGTCGCACTCAACAAGCTTGTGATGACCAAAATAAAGACCACTGACGCCCTCATGTTGATATGATTATTCTGTTTGAGTCTTCGCGCTTCCAAGGACACCAGCTCGTGCGGCTGATGGATTTCGAATGCGACAGACATTGGAGACAGTGCTTTTATACTTTACACATTAATGAATATTTAAAAATGCGTAGACTTATTGATTAATTTAGTCTGAAGTGTTTTTGGACGAGTAGAAAGATGTGACGCCATATGCATAAGATTACAAGCTTGTAATACATGTGACTGGGTCTATGAAAAGGGCGCTTGATAAATTTTTTAATGATTTATTATATTTTTACATTTATTTATCAGTGTCAGTCATACCATAACAACTATTTCTGTTGAAGTGCTGATAGTAGTGTATGGAGTTGAGTCTCAGGTCCAGAAACACTAAACCCTGGTGTTTAGCCAGTTTTATTCCTTCATCAAGAAACCGGAGAAACAGAAAGAACTTTAACCCCGTGTCATCATCAGCCTATTAATGTCTCCACTGCTGGGGCACAGGCCTTGTCTATGGATGGAATAGGGACATTGGGCCGTGAACCACCACGCGAGTCCATTCTGGATTAGTGGGTGCTAACGACTGCAGATGCAGCCGGGACCAACAGCTTAACGTACCTACCGAAGCGCGGAGAAACTCGAGATAATAAGTTTTTGGTCACCCATCCAATGACCGACCATCACGAAAATTATTAAACTTCAGCGACCACTTTAAGCTTCTCTAATCCAGTGTCACTCTGGTAAATTGCCTTGCGTAAGTGGGAGTCGCTTTTAGATCACCTCTCTTTACCGCAAGGAATAAAGGTCTTGAACACACACCTGAATGAAGTAGACGCCGCAGGCAAAAAACAATTCAAAATTCAATATCGTTTATTCAGTCTAGGCTGTTACAAGGACTTGTGAATGTCGAAAAGCTACGCCATCGGTTCGCAGTTCTACAGTGAGAGACCTTGTACTGAGAAGAACCGGCAAGAAACTCAGCAAGGGCTGTTTTTTTCTTCCTGTATTATATACAGAGTCGTCAAATTGAAAAATGACTACAATATGAGCTAACTCATGAAGTCACTTTCCATTACAAATGTAAAAGATGTAAACATTATGACTATAAAATAAAAAAATATAAAATACTGATTTAACAAAGTTTAAGTTTAGGAATGTTTAGGAATGCCGTGTGCTACTGTTAAGGCATTAAAAAATTACAATTGAAGTTAAATACAACGATTAATAGTACCCAATATAGCAAGAGCAGACTCGTCGCCGCAGGCAGCACCCGTTCACGAGCATGACGCATGAACCAGCCATCGCTTCGCTCAATCATTTTTTAGGGAACATAACGACCCGCCTCACACGACACCGCCGAAGAGATTTTTAAGAGAGCATGACTACTCATAACCACATATGGATACTAGGTTGCAAAAAAGGGGGAAAAAAATAAGTACTAGTTTACATTATTATAATAAACTATAAACGCAACTGTACGACACTTGCATGTGATTACCTAAACACTAGTGTCGACTGGTCGCAGTTAAATAGGGGTGATTACGGGGTACAGTAAACGAAATTCTATTCAGTCCGTCAGTTAGATGATCAAAAAATAATGGACACGTATTTTTTCTTTGGGCAATCAACCAAAAAATGACAAAGTTATAGCGCGTCAAAGTTTGGGAGTAGGGGCTCGTGACGTCACTTTTGAGTGATTTTTCACTTATAAGTGTACTCAAACGTGAAGTCATGCGACTTTTCAAATCAATATATCTCTGCAATGTTTATATTATGTGAAAAAAGAAAAAATACGTACCCAATACATTTTTATAATCTACCTGATAAACGAAGAAAAAAAATTAGTCATCATCCTTATTGTATGGAAACCGAGTGAGTCTGATTTTAAGTGGTCACGAGACCAAATAAGTGGTGAAAAAGAATGGGCCCCGGCCACCTATTTCAATTATATCGTTTTTACAAGTAGCTTAATATGACATAGTAAGATATTTTTGGAGTTTACTCCTTAAGAATCGATTTGCATATATAAGGGGCCCGGTATGAGAAAAATGTGAGGAGGAAAATCTATCGATGAATGACATTAATGACCTCGTTACTTTTTTGTGCGCAACCTCATCTGCACACCTTTTAGCCATGGCAACGGATAAAAAAAATTAAGTTGTCACAAATGTCTATAAAATAAATAAACTAAAAACAGATAAAATCGGAGCAAAATTAATGAAAACAAATAAATAACAGAATATAGAGAAATGCCGGTAAGTGTCCAGCACTCTGGAATAGTGATTTTCAGTACAGATGGAATTATAATACATATTTACAAAATGATGACTAGTGTGTGATATTTTTGAAATTGTGTGTTTCCAGAAACACATAATAAAATATATGATGAATATCGCTGATGTTAGATGATAAAATGTATGACATGGAACCTATGATAGTCGAAACCATGGGACGATTCCTGAGGTATCTCTACTTGTAACCGACTTCTTCGGACTTGATTTTGTTTTGTGTCTGTTTTGAACAGATTTTAACAATCGTTTTTAGAGTGTAAACTCCAGTCGTGCGTCGGAGCTGACATACACATTTTTTTTAAATATTGCGATTGACGTCCGGTATTGAGAATAGTGATGAGATGAAATAAATTGGCGTATAAGGGAGACCAACGGGACGCGATGTACATACGCGTTATTTAATGCGATCTAAGGGTTGGAATCTATTTGTGTTTAGTTGTAATAAAATATTTGTTAAGAACTTGAACAAAATAATTCTTAAACTATTATTTGTTCGTTGATACCCGCATTAATCTCGAAGACTGTGTTGCAGGTATCAGCGCCCAACCTACAAACAAAGGAACAAGATATTTCTCAATACTACTTCTGAGAGATAACTTTAACTTACATAGGAAACTTAAGTAAAAAACAATAATCTGCGCTGCTTTTATATTTGAATTGTGTATGATTGTGTGTTGTGCGTGTGTGTGTGTGTGTATGTATGTGCTCGCTCAATTTTAATGAAAATTGTTCATATTTATGTGGATGTGAGTGTTTTAGGTTCATAGTTCCTGTATTTATATTTTTAATCCATAAGTTGGTATGATTTAAGTTATTATTACTAAAATGTTTTATTTGATAAATTAACATATTTAATTAAACGAAAAGTATTATTATTTTAAGATATTTCTCTTTTCATACATTAATTATTGTATCGGCGTTCTGCGTACTCTTCAATAAAGCTCAGTGGTTTACTTGAATAATGCGTATATTGCGAATATAATTACAAATAAATAAAATTAAACGAAATGAAAATTGCGAAAGAAAGTTGAGCGTACAAAATTTGAATTTCGTAGAGAGTGAAGTGTAGAGGGGGTTTTTTGATCACGTGGGTCAAAGCTGCTTCTACTGGTAGAAATGGAGCGACGTTCCGGTGTAGGCAGAACTTCTTACTCATGCGTCAACAATTATTATTTCTTCATACCTTTTTTTATATTGTAATTAATCATACTAATGCGAATGTAATTGTATTACAGTTTCATTAACTTTTCTACATTCTCATCAAGAATCGAGGATGAGTACGATGGTGTCTAGCAACCACCAATCCGTGCAGAGCGCGCGTGGTGTTTTTTTATATATTTTGCGGGCTCAAGAAGCTAGCATTCCGTTAAAATTTTAGGTTTTCCTTTCAAAATATAGAAATGCCTTGATAGACAGACTGACAGCGGGGGCATATTAATAGGGTAAGATTCATAGGACAAGATCATTTTTTATCATCTTTTTAAATCTCAGATCTAAAATACTCTTATGAATGCTTGGACATAGTGTTTCTTGTAATAAGTTATATCATGGGTGTTAGTATTTTTTCATAATACTAATGTGGTGCCTTTATATAAATATATATAAATATAATATAGTACCGGTATATAAAGTTAACTATAAAATTTATTGTAACTATATATCTATATTCTAAATGACTTAATGGAAGGTATCTGCGAAGTCATTTTCAACTTGACGACTCTGTATATAACAACACAGGGAGAAAAAAACAGTCCTTGCTACTCAGCAACCGGCAAGAAACTCTTCTTGCCGGTTCTTCTCAGTAAAAGGTTTCCCGCAGTAGTTTTGCAAACCGATGGCGTAGCTTCTTGTCCTTCACAAGTGCTTTAAACAGCCTAGACTAAATAAATGATATTTGATACTTTGGGAGGAGGAGGAGGAGGAGCTCGATGGCGCAAGTGGTAAGCGCGTTCGGCTGCGATCGTTGTAGTTAAGCAACTTTCGCAGTGGTCGGTCATTGGATGGGTGACCAAAAATTACTATCTCGAGCTCCTCCGTGCTTCGGAAGGTACTTTAAGCCGTTGGTCCCGGCTGCATCTGCAGTCGTTAGCACCCACCAATCCGCACTGGGCCCGCGTGGTGGGTCATGGCCCAACCTCCCTATTCCATCCATAGGGAAGGCCTGTGCCCCAGCAGTGGGGACATTAATAGGCTGATGATGATGATGATGATACTTTGATTTCCTACGAATAAATCTTCTCCCCCTCCTCATTTGTGTTGAGAGCCACATCCGTTCCTCTCTCACCTTTATGCCCCGGGATAGAATGATTCCCTGCGTGTGGGGTATAGGGGATTGGATCAGAGTGGCAACGGTGCAAGTCATATTTTTGTTATCACAAGCGTCTATAGGCTATAGTGGCTGCTAACCATCAGACGGGCCATACAACTAGCGTTGCCAGATGATGGCTTATCAATTCCGGGATATTTGCACACTGAAAAAAATAAAGTGTAGGAAGGCCAAAGGGGAAGATCTTCCTCCGAGCTGGATGATGGTAGCTCGGGGGCCGCAGCCCCACTGATGTTGGTCGGGCATCGTATATATGGAGTGTTTGGCTCCGAATTTCTCTTGCGCGATGTAGGCTTCCTTAAGTTGTGCACGCAGCGCCGGTAGCGCCATCTCTGGAGAAGGTGAATGTTTATTTCCTCCATGTTAGTTATATGTGGGGCATATAGATGTCGCCGCCACAAAAGCATCAAATCTAACCCCCCATCACCCTCCGGAATTAAAACGTCAAGCAGGCCAGCGGTGTCATTCGTTATTAGTTTTTTTTCAAATTATAAAATACTTTATTAAGATTTAAATATCTAGCAGTTAAACAGTAAATAGGACAAAAATTTCACAGGTGGGATCATGATAAGCCGTTGGGGAGTGCGGCTCCATCCTCGCAGAGATCAGAGCGCTGCCATCTGTGGCGGGTGCCACGGATACACATACTGCTGGCCCTGATGATCGCGATCTGGAGCTCTATTTTTGAATCACTCGTCTGACATAGTATCGTCGAATGCGACATAAGTCACCTTCGACCGGTAATAGGGGTGATGACGGGGTACAGTAAACGAAATTCTATTTAGTCCGTCAGTTAGATGATCAAAAAATAATGAACACGTATTTTTTCTTTGGACAATCAACCAAAAAATGACAAAGTTATAGCGCGTCAAAGTTTGGGAGTAGGGGCTCGTGACGTCAGTTTTGAGTGAATTTTCACTTAGTGTACTCAAACGTGACGTCATGCGACTTTTCAAATCAATATATCTCTGCAATGTTTATATTATGTGAAAAAAGAAAAAATACGTGTCCAATACTTTTTGATGATCTACCTGATAAACGAAGAAAAAAAAATAGTCATCATCACTATTACCGCAATGAAAACGGAACGAAACATTCTTAGTACATGACTGTATAATACAAATCTATTTCGTTGTTTATATTACCGGCACTTCACTTAGCTGTTCGTGATTGCTGTTTGTAAACTTGACATGCATTAGCCGTCATGCCATAATAAAAAAAGAAGAAACTTGACGTCAATCTGCTCTTGTCGTTTCATATAAAGCATGACTAGGATAGATTATCGTTGTCTAATAGCAAAATCAATAGCAAAGTAAAGTGCCAGCGTTTGAAATATTCAAACGTCACAACACTCATTTCAAAACAGTTTCTGATAGTTTATTTTACTCAGTGGCTAAATCCAATCACACAAAGAAACTTAATAAGTTGATGGAAGTTGACCTCAACACATGTTTGCAAGTTTGATGTCAACTTTCAATTGGACGACACTGTATGAAATAAAACAGGGAGAAAAAAGCAGCCCTTGCTCAGTTTCTTGCCGGTTCTTCTCAGTACAAGGTCTCCCGCCGTAGATTTGCGAACCGATGGCGTAGCTTTTCGACATTCACAAGTGCTTGTAACAGCCTAGACTGAATAAACGATATTGAATTTTGAATTTTGAAATTTTTGACACTAACGTGACGTCTGACACAAATTTGACAATTATTCTATCATTCGCCTCCACCATTCGCCAAGCAACGAGTGGTCTCACCCATTCGTAGCACTCGAGCGATTCAAAAATACGGATTTAATTACGTCGAATGAAAATTAGTAGAAATAGAGCGTTCGCCGCAAGGCGTGTGATTCAAAAATGGAGCTCCAGGATTCTTGCGCGTAACCATCCCATTATTGAGGCGAGGGGCCGGCTCCAGCGGTCTGCTAGTGCTTCGGCAAGGTGTTTGGCGAAGCTTCTAACTGTGGGGCGAAGACTCCGTCGACTGAGGTTACCAGGGGTGTAAAGGTGACGCGGAAGAATCCCTAAACGGGGATCCCGCGGTTTCGCACTAAGCAGCTTAGAGGGTATTCGCAGGGTTTTTTAGCGGATATTATGCCGTAAAGCGCCCGTAAGAGTTACGGGGTACTCAGTGGGCAGCCACTGTGGGGGCTCGTAAGGTTTGCGGGAGCCAGGTGTGAGGTCCGTTCGGCGGTGTGCCTCTTAAAGGCGCCGTCGTCTGTAAACAGAGTTTTTGCCTGCGTCACAAAAAAAAGGGGGTGTAAAGGCGACTCGCATGGGCTACAATATTTCCTCATTTATTAGTTTATTTTGTTACGAAACTAGCACATTATCGGATTCCGACAAAATTCCGGGACATTTCCGGATTTCCCGGCCATCTGGCAAGTCTACTTACAACACAAACCCCACCAAAAGGCAATTTTACTACCCTGTAGACTTTTATAAGGTGAACTTTATTTCCTTAGGTGAGAGCTCAGATTCGAGCAGAAACGCCGCTCTAACGTACATAATCACTTAATAACTATATTTTCAGTACTTTTGAAGCAGAAAATAATTGGATAAAAGAAAATGGAATCGAGAAAAGCAAGTCGCAGGTATATAAAATGGTTTAATATTATTTCGCTACAGGTAACATCGTAACGTAACGTAACATTATGGTGATTAAGTACTTATAAATCTACTCAGTAACAGCAAATATTTACTTTTTATATATTAAATAGTATTAACAGAAGATCGTTATAATTATGAAGTGCCAATGATTAAATAAAACTAGTTTTTACGGGTTAATGCACGAAATTTTATTTATTTATTGACGCTTCAATAAATAAATAAAAACTAGTTTTATTTAATGAGTGATGTGCGTGAAAACCTAAGAAACAAATATGCCAATGATTGCCAACAAATTACAGAAAAGTTACAAAAACAAATTTATTAAAATCAAACAATAAAAATAAAAGAAAATGTAAATAACACAACCAACTATAATAAAAAGATGTTATTGAAAGTTATAAAAGAATAATAAACGCTATATACAACAGTCTCAATCAATACAGCACTTTTAACAAATTATAAAGCGCTTAATCCGATTCCGATCCGATCCGATAATCCAATTAAAGTAGTTTTGAAACAGGTAGAAAGCATAGACAGTATATACACTATTGCTCTTAAAATACTTTAAAAAAACAAACAATTTTATAGTAACATTAATAAAAACAACCGTGTTCAATTAAAATACATACCTTTGACTGTATAACTCATTACAGAAAGCAGTGTAGCGCCTAATGAAGCAAATGGAACTTTATATTATCATTACACCTAACACTAAGATAGGTTTTTAAGGTAAAGTTCTCTCTCCCCTTTATGATAATTGAGATTAAACATATTGGTTATGCGAACATGAAGTATGATGTTGATGGCTCCGTTAATAGTTTGTGCGATGACCAGGTTCGCTTCAGCAGTAGGTGAGCAGCTCCTCGATGGTGCAAGGCTGGTCGCAGCACTCGGAGATGACTCCTCGCTTGCCGCGGGAGCCGCTCAGCGCTCCGCGTAACAGCCAGCTCTCCAACCCAGCGCCGCCAAAACCTAGCTCATGGAGCCAGCCCTCGTCGCCCGCACCCAGCACCTCGTTGCCGGGGTAGTGCCACCTCCCGTGGTGCCCTGATCTCTTCACCAGCTCAGCGGACGGGCAGAACAGAGCCAGCGTGTCTGCGAGTCTTCTCCCGCAGAAGAATTGCGCCGGCGCCTTCCCTGACGTCGCACACAACAAGCTTGCGATGACCAGAACAAAGACCACTGACGCCCTCATGTTGATATGATTATTCATTTTAAGTCTTCGCGCTTTTAAAGTCACCAGCTCTTACGGCTGATGAGACTCGAATGCGACAAACATTGGTGAGCGTGCTTTTATATTTTTACACGTTAATGAATATTTAAAACTCGGTAGACTTATTGATAATTTTCGTCTAAGGTGTTACTGGATGAGTAGGAAGATGTGACGCCATACGCATAATTTTACATGCATGTAACACACATGAATGGATATTTGAAATGACACTATTTACCCAAAATTTTCGTACAAGTCTCTAATCTGTTTATGTTTTGTGTAAGTAGAATAAAGAACTACGTATAAATGGAATGGAAAAGTTGTTCCAACTTCTATTTTACGGCGTTCTTCTTCGATACGTCAAGAACTTATGTATACATAGAGTTTTCTTCTCGTTCCCTCTTCTACCGAAAAATATACTACTTGTAAAGCTAGATAGTCCACTAGCATCTCAGTTTTCTATTTTCGACCGCTGCGTTCATGAAGGGTCATTTTCCGTTTAATACCATTATAACCTGAGGAGCTCGATGGCGCTGGTGGTTAATGCGTTCGGCTGCGAAAGTTGAAGTTAAGCAACTTTCGCAGTGGTCGGTCATTGGATGGGTGACCAAAAATCTTCTATCTCGAGTTCCTCCGTGCTTCGGAAGGCACGTTAAGCCGTTGGTCCCGGCTGCATCTGCAGTCGTTAGCACCCGCCAATCCGCACTGGGCCCGCGTGGTGGGTCATGGCCCAATCTCCCTATTCCATCTGTAGGGAAGGCCTGTGCCCCAGCAGTGGGGACTTTAATAGGCTGATGATGATAATGATGATGATAGATAGATAGAATGGAAAAGTTGTGTTCCACCTTCTCTTTGGCGGCGTTCTTCTTCGATACGTCAAGAGCTTATGTACTTGGGATTAGGAAATTATATGAAGTAGACCCGCGGTAATCCGGGCCTCGTCTTATCCGACACGCTTATCACTGTTAATTTGCACTTAATAAGTAGAAAAAAAAAATTTTTAGATTTATAATTTGTCATATTACAAGGTCTTCTTACACAAAAAAATCTGGAATATAGAGGGAGGTCTTAGCCAGTACTCTGTAATCCGACAAATTCGATAATCTGACATAGCCCTGCAAAACGTTTGTCGAATTACCGAGGGTCTACTGTAGTGTTTTCTTCTCGTTACCTCTTCATCCACTAGCATCTCAGTTCTCTATTTTCGTTCTCTATATACCATTATAACCTGAGGCCCAAGCTCGAATATTTGATAGCTCCGAAACGTATAAACGTCAAATTTTGTATGGATAAAGTTAGTTTGTTCTTACGTTGGGCTTAAAAATTCGTACGTGGGCCTGTGCACTATAGAGTCGGTTGTCCGTGAATATGTAACAGTCATAATTATATCTATATACGTATATAAAACTCAAAGGTGACTGACTGACATAGTGATCTATCAACGCACAGCCCAAACCACTGGACGTATCGGGCTGAAATTTGGCATGCAGGTAGATGTTATGACGTAGGCATCCGCTAAGAAAGGATTTTCGTCAATTCTACCCCCAAGGGGATAAAATAGGGAATGAAAGTTTGTATGAAACTTTGTCATTTTTAAACCGATTAGGCTGAGACTTTGCATGCAGGTATAAGAAGAATCATAGATGAATGTCATTGTGTATAATACAAGCCTGAGAACAAAAACTGTAGTCTACACTTCAGCTCTACACCGAAGCGAAGCGAGGGCGGGCCGCTAGTAATACATATATTCTTTTTTCAATTTGAAAGATTTTTCGTCTATAGTCCTAGATCCTTGGCGTAAAGTTTTATTTTGCGACAACTTGTAAAACTAAAGAAAAGATTACTAGAAAAAAAAATCCAGGCGGACCAGGCAGCGGACGGGACTCGAACCCGCACCTTTCGCAATCCGGGCGAATGCACTGACCATTATGCTACCACGGCCCTATTCGCCGCGTCAAAATTTTCCTAGCTTTAAGCTGCAAGGCAGCGCCATCTCTTCGCATTGTAGGTAACCCACAATGTCAAATGAATACTTTTTCAAGTATTTAACATTTGAAAGAAGAAATAGCAATTATAGTTATGTTTTTATTTATTTTTTAAGCATTTAACTGCTAGATGTTTAAATCTAAAGAAAAGATTACTAGAAAAAAAAATCCACGCGGACCAGGCATGGTCAGTGTATTCGCCCGGATTGCGAAAGGTGCGGGTTCGAATCCCGTCCGCTGCCTGGTCCGCGTGGATTTTTTTCTAGTAATCTTTTCTTTAGATTTAAACATCTAGCAGTTAAATGCTTAAAAAATAAATAAAAACATAACTTATAAAACGTTTATCACTGTTTCTCTAACACAGCACCCACAACATTTACTAACACTACCAAGCTATAGCTGTAGATAACTTAATATACATATATAACTATCTGTTTTATTCTATTTGATTACCAGCTACCAGCTACTTATCACGTGTTATGTAAGTTTTTCTTTACTCCCAGTCCAGTCTCAGGGAATATCTAACTAATTAAACAAAAACAAAGTCTCGCCAGAAGAAGGTTATTAATAGCAAAAGATATTATGAGTAAATAATATCATTGCTAATAGCCGTAAACAAGTTAATGGCGTACTTATACTGTTGGTTTGGGAACGGTGGAATGTATTGATAGTACAAAGACTGGAGGCGTTTGTATAGACCACCGTTATCACCATTATCATCTACTTATTAATGTCCCCACTGCTGGGGCACAGTCCAGCTCTATTAATGGAATAGGAAGTTTAGATTACCACCCACCACGCAAGCTCAGTATGGATTGGTTAGTGTTAAGGACTGGCTTGAGGAACTCGATGGCGCAAGTGGTTAACGTTAGTTTTGCTGCGATCGTTGAAGTTAAGCAACTTTCGCAGTGGTCGATCATTGGATGGGTGACCAAAAATTATTATCTTGAGCTCCTCCGTGATTCGGTGCTCGTTAAGCCGTTGGTCCCGGCTGCTTCTGCAGTCGTTAGCACCCACCAATCCGCACTGGGCCCGCGTGGTGGGTCATGGCCCAATCTCCCTATTCCATCCATAGGGAAGGCCTGTGCCCCAGCAGTGGGGACATTAATAGGATGATGATGATGATGATAATGACGCAAGCTCAGTATGGATTGGTTAGTGTTAAGCACTAGCTTGAGGAGCTAGATGACGCAAGTGGTTAGCGTGTTCGGCTGCGATCGTTGAAGTTAAGCAACCTTCGCAGTGGTCGATCATTGGATGGGTGACCAAAAAAATCTTCTATATCGAGCTCCACGTGCACGTTAAGCCGTTGGTCGCAGCTACTCCTGCAGTCCTAGACTCCCTATTCCATCCATAGGGAAGGCCTGTGTCCCTGCAGTGGACATTAATAAGCTGATTATGATGATGATGAAGGACTGCTATGCAACCGGGACCAATTGCTTAACGAGCCTTCTAAAGCACTGAGAAAGTTTACAGTGCCGGTATTGGTTTGTAGACAGCCCAGTCTCCATTGCATCCATCCATCCATCCATCAGCCTTTCTCCATCCACTGTACGGATGTCGAAAGTTGAAAAAAATATCGATATATCGATACATCGATATTTTAAAAAATATCAATATCGGCTTCGATATATCGCGAAAAAAACATCGATATATCGATATATCCGACCAATTTTAAAATCGGAAATAATAACAATACAAATTATAATTAAAGAAAGAATTATCAAAGTACCAAATTGCCGCTCACTACACTATATGACAGTACAGTATCTCACGAAAGATGACACGTGGAATAATAATGGAACGAAAATTAGTTACGATTTTTCCAGATACGAATTTAGTAAGATCGTGATATGCCGCTAACAATTAAAAAAATATCGTTTTTGATACAAATTTCGATATTGGTTATTTTGTATCGATGTATCGATATATCGAACCAAAATATATCGGCTAAAAATATCGATATATCGAACAAAAAATATCGATATATCGATACATCGATATATTTTCAACAAGCCTAGTCCACTGCTGGACATAGGCCTCCCCCATAGAACGCCACAATACTCGGTCCTGCGCTATCTGCATCTAGTGGCTCCCAGCACATTTGGCGATATCGTCAGTCCACCTTGTTGGGGGCCGCCCCACGCTGCGTCGTCCGGTATCCATTGCTTAGCTCTTTCAATAATTTCAATTCCCGTTGTATAATTTACGTTTTCATGGTAAATGTTTTAAATAATATTTCTTATTGCGTTTATTGAGTAAACTATAATAAATATTTCCAACACTCACACCAGTTAGCCTAACCCCAAAGTGAACACTGTAGGTTTGTGTTAAGGTATGCTAGGGTAACGGATAGAATACATATACTGATCCAGTAAGTAAATACATACACGTATATAAGTATATTTATATAGAAACTAGCGGCCCGCCCTCGCTTCGCTTCGGTGTAGAGCTGAAGTGTAGACTACAGTTTTTGTTCTCAGGCTTGTATTATACACAATGACATTCATCTATGATTCTTCTTATACTTGCATGCAGTCTCAGCCCGATCGATTTAAAATTGACAAAGTTTCATACAAAGTTTCATTCCCTATTTTATGTAGGTAGGTAGGTAGAATTGATCAAAATCCTTTCTTAGAGGATGCCTACGTCATAGCATCTACCTGCATGCCAAATTTCAGCTCGATCCGTCCAGTGGTTTGGGCTGTGCGTTGATAGATCACTATGTCAGTCAGTCACCTTTGAGTTTTATATATATAGATACATATAAACACGACTGGAGTACAAATGCACGTATTCTTCACACAAATATCTGCCCCAACCGGGATTCGAAGCCAGTACCTCTCGAGTAGACGACACATTGAAACCCGGCGTACAAACCACTCGGGCACGGAGGTCATCAAAATTTTATTATACTTTTTAAAATTAAATTAAAGTCTTTTTTCAGTATTTAAGGCCGGGGAAAACCGGGGGACTTACCCAGGTGGCAGAGTTGAACCATCATTCAAAATTTAATTTAAATTCAGCGTAAACAAAACGTAAATCCGT